GGGGGGAGGGGGATAAGCCATAAGGACACCTGGACAAAAAAAGAGGTTATAAATGAATATTTAAAGAGTCTATTATTTTTATTTGAATGGAACATGGATCTGTTTTATACAATGGGGGAGGACCTGGTCTAGGTGTGCCTGGTCCCTCAGCAGAGCACAGGGTGGGTCTGCAGGTGTCACCGGGCTCAGAGTCAAACAGAAAGGCCAGCAGGGGTTACAGCTCCATCCACGTTTTACAGCCAACCCTTCCAGCCACTGTATCTGACACTTCCTCTTGCTAATGAAGAGCCCGGGTTGCTCTGCTCTGTGTCCTCCCAGCGGCGTCTGGTGCTGAGACAGGGGAGCAGGAACCACAGGAAAAGCAAAACGAGTTCACCTCAGGTCTCCAAGCTGTTCCTCCCTCTGGTGTGACCCACTCTGGAGATCCAGCCATTCACCTCTTTTCCTTTGCTTTTTATTTAACATTTTTATTTTTTCCCTATTCACCTACGTGTTGGTTTTGTTTTCTGTCGTGTTTTTTTTCTTCTTTTTTTTTTTTTTTGTCTTCTCACGTTTTCCAAAGTAGCCAGCGTGGAGGCAAAGCAGAGCAAGGCAGAGATGGGGAGTGAGAGAGCCCTTGTGCTGGACAGGCTAGCAAGCAACGTGGCAAAGCGAAAAAGCTCAATGCCCCAGAAATTTATTGGTAAGAACAAAAAACCTTTTCATGTGCAACAGTGAACTCTGTGCAGGTCGGGGCTGCAGGTCGATGCCTCTGCTTCTTTTCCTTCTCCAGTTTATAATCTATCGAATGCAAAAGAAGATAAATAAAGTAACTGATTTTTCTGATGTTTTTAGTGATCTGCTGGAGGGGTTTGATTAAAAGTAACAATATATTCTGTTAGATACCTAATCTGGATGGGAGCTGCTGTCGTGCTTTGTGTCTGTTTGTGTAGGCAATTTATCAATCTGTTTTATGAGCTTCCACGTGTTGTTTGCTGTACCTGTGCATTTGAAATGTTCTCTGCTAGGTTCTGCCCGGGAAAAGAGCAGGAGGGTCAGTGCTGGGAGGGCTGAGGGCCCTTCCCAGTCAGCAGGAGCTGGAGGTGCTTGCAGGAGGTGTGTGTGCAATGAAGCCTCAAGACAGAAAAGTATTTTATTCTGTTAGT